TGGAGGTCGACAGGATCAGAGTTTGTATTCTTCGCCTCGGGTTTGCCATTGTCACGTTTCGACTTCTTGGGAGCACGCTCAACTCCTGAATCGAGCCTCTTCTGGTCAGCCATCCGCTTGGCCTAGGCGGCCACAAGATTTGCAAACACTGAAACTGTTCTTCCCAACCTATTTCAGGGAGTTGAAGACATAACTTAACCGCCTAGAACTTGAGACCCTGCACAGACCTTTGCTATATAGGACATGTGATAAAAACATATGTAAATTTTTTTTTGGTTTGGGATACTGAGATTCGGTTTGAGGCCCCACTACAGGAGGTGGAGTATCAAGCAACCCTTCTTCCACGGCGTCAGCCATCTGCGGACACCTAGTCGTTGGTGTCTTCGACCAATCCTCATCAATCATCTCGCCGAGGCCCAAGGCAGCATTGATTGAAGCCTGTCGCGAGCACTGAAGGTCTGTCCTACTGTGGTAAACTTCATTCATGAAATAGTGATCTCGAGTGCTTTGGAACCTTTGTATTTTGTGGAGACATCAGACCTTAATTGGGTAGCGTAACAATCGATGAAGGCCTAACGTCTCAGAGAAGCTTAGTTGAAGGAGTGACCTGATTTTTGCGGTGTCAGTCGAAGTTAGGGACATCAGGCCTTTGACTTGTATGGCAGTGGAGGTCTGAAAGGCTGCAACAGTTTTGACAATACTTCTTTGGAAAGAATGATCTCAAATCTTTCCACGTTTGCTCTAGGAGCATCAGACCACCTTGGTATGTGTCAACTGCCGTGTCTCACCCGCGCGGAGCGCCTTGCAAGACAAACTGGAGCCAGCATCCTGCCACAGTTGCATGGGAACTACTCAAGTCATATGGGTCATAGTCATAGCATCAAGGCATTCACATGTGAAAGCGCCGTCGATGATATGGCGTGCGCTAATTTAACAATTTGTGTTGAGACGAAACTTCCGGTGGTTGGGAGGTTGGGGTGGTGGGGTCCTTTGACTTCTGCTCGCGAATCCATTCACCGAAGTGCCGCACAGAAGCCAAAGTGGCGAACACGCGCTCACCATACAATTGCAATGCGCGCAAGCAGTGGTCCATGTAGCTGTCGAACAAAGGGTGCCTGGAATGCTTGTGACTAGGTAACACCATCTTCAAAACTGTTCTTGTCTTAGATGTGTTTTTTGGGGGGGCGTTCTCAAATTCTCAAACCCATCGCGCATCGCTGACTTAGACCTAGTTCAAAAAAATTGCTAAACAATTTGCACGAAAACCGCTCTAGGCAAAACCCTGAATGTTCGCTGTTTCTAACCGAGCTACTCCTTGATCTTTCAATCCTGGCGCAAGCAGTCTGCGATGTCACGAAGCCATACCTGGATGACGCCGTTCCTCTCATCCTTTCTTCCAGGACGCGACTTTCCATCCCCATGCTCTGAGTAGAATTTGCCCAGCCAAGAGTCATTGTTGTCTGCTGGATCATCCCAGGTGGCGATGAACTGCTCAGCCTTCACAATGTCCTTCAACTCACAATGCGATTCAGCCTTCATGTCATGAGACACTCAATTGAAGCATACTCTAAAGACACTACATTGGATCTTTGGCCAAACAAAATTACAAAATCAAACCGCCGGTCCTCTGCAGTCAGGAAATGTGGGTCGTCAGAACCATGGTCACTGGAGGCATTGTCGCCAAGCGCCCGGGTGCTTGCACTCAAGCGCACTGGCGAGTCAGCTTCTGACCTCACTGTGACGCTTCTGCGTCGCTCATCGCTGTCACCCATTGCAGCACGCATCAGCATGCTCCTTAGAATTGAACAACAGCATTATATATATATCGCACTTGGCGACCTTGTTTAGAGAAACGATGTCCAAAGCAGAGCTTTGGATTCTCTAGGCAGCCTGCCCCTCGACATCTATGCAAGTCTGGACCAGGGACGACTCGTTTGTGAACCAGATTCCAAACCTAGGTAAACAGGGACCTGCCTGGACTTCAGTAGTTCGTAGACGTGTGATTGACAGAGATTCGAGCGACGTTCTTCATGATGAGTCCATACAACCACAACTAGGTAAGAAGCATTATGCCCACAAGCTGCCAGAACATGTCCTGCACATTCAGACCGAGTTCACGTTTCGCCCTCAGGAACGGTCACAGACCATGGAAGCTCTGAGTGTGCACCAGGTGAGACAAGTCTCATCACAAGTGAAGGAAGCTGCCCAGAGACCCTCAACCAAGGTAGATGGGAAACGCTTTATGGTTGCTGAAGTGTTCAATCCACCACGGTTCGCCCCGTTCGTAGAAGAGGTCGAAGGTACTTGTAGATCATATGATTTGAAAACTGGATTTGATTTCCTCAAAGAAGGCACTGGAGAGTATGTCAAGGATTTCTTGCAGGATAATCCACCGGATTTGCTTGTTGCATCACCCCCATGTACCAATGAGGGTGGGTGGTTTCATCTCAACGCAAGCAAATGGTCCGCAGCTGAACGTTTGCGACGGGTGCGAATCTGCCGCACGTTTGTGAAGTTTGCCGTTGAGCTCCTTCGCTCGCGGTTTGCTCCAGTCGCCAACTCTGAGTCAAATGGGCCGCATGTTGTTGATGCAAGTGATTGCTTCGCATCGATGGACACTGCAACTTGGAGACATCAAAGGAGCCTTTTTGGAGGCTGGGCCTTTATAGATAGCAAGTACAAGCCCCTGTATGCTCGTCAACCTCCCGGAGGAATCCCCGGGGTGCCATCCGATGCGGCGCTTGAGGTTCTGGGGAACATTTATGGTCAAAATGACGCACCTTTAGCCTGGTACCGCACCTTTCATGACGAAGCCCTGCGAATTGGAAGGTTGCAACTGAGGTCCAAGTTTGATCCATGTTTGTACTACCTCCGAAGCCCTGAAACAAACCAACTTCAGGGAATCCTGGAAGTTCATGTTGATGACACGTGTTTGGGAGGTATCGGCCCACAGTTTGAGAGCGCCGTCAAACAGCTGAGAGCTCGTTTTCCCTATCGCAAGTGGAGGGTCGCTGAGGGTGAACTTTGCGGGAGCTACTATGTTCAAGAACCTAGAAATCCATATGTCCCAGAAACTGTTCGCTGAGAAACTCCGCCCCCGCTCAAATCCCTCGCGCATCCGCCTGTGAAGATTCTCAATCTCAAATTCGCGCGCTTCGAGCAATCAACGGAAGCTTGAATTGGATAGCTTCACAATCTAGGCCTGATTTAGCAGTACAGACTAGTTTGTCACAACAAGCTTTTCCAAAACCATGTGTTCGTCACTTGAGAGATGCAAACAACGATCTGACCATTTCCTTCAAAGTCATTGATCCTAAGCAATTGACGATTTGTTGTCACTCAGATGCTGCCTTCGCCAATGTAGGCATCCACACCCAAGCAGGCTACATTCTGGCCTTCACTGACGCAACCATGACTGAAGGCAAGGTATACCCCGTGGACTCCCGTTGTCTGGCGAAGCTATAAGATGAGTCGCGCCGGGAGTTCCACTCTGGGCGGTGAAAGCCAGGCCATGGCAACTGCCAGTGGGACGGTAGAGTGGTTGAGTCTCCTTTTGTGTGAGGCTCTTGATGGACCCTGTGATCCATGTCAAGAAAGGTCTTTGCTGGCAAAATGCAATCGCTGTTGCAAGTCCTCATATGACCATCTCATATCCCCTTCCTCTCCGACCGCAGTAGAAGATAGGAGAACTAGCATCGACATTGTCATAATCCGTGAGTCTCTCCGCATGACCGGAGGAGTGGTGCGTTGGTTGCCCACAGACCGCATGTTAGCCGACGGTCTTACCAAAGACCGCGCTGATCCTGTCGACCTTTTGCGAGCCTGCGTTCGATCAGGATCATACCAGATTTCTCCAGAGACTCATGTTTTGGAACAGCAAGCAGCGGAAAGAGAACTCCGCCGCCAAAAACGCCAAGTCGATGCAGGTGAATCAAGTGAGGTGGTTCACACTAATTAGGTAAGATAAGCTCGGATTAGACTTGAAAGATTTTCGTGTGGAGTCACACGGCGATAAATGAAGAGGGTACATTGTTGCAGTGTGTTTTCATTTTTCGGACATGTCTGTTCCTGAGAAGTTGTCATGTGCATGTTTTTGCAATAGAAAGACGTGTCTGCGTACGCAGTGCCTTGTCTCTAATCGAGAAGCCAGTCCCGACAGTACATGTTCGTGTTCTTGTTTGTGAGGAGCCATGTCTTGAAATGCCAAGGACCACAAACAGCTGAATGAGCTGTTGGCCAAGGCTAGTGCTCAAGGTCTCTCCCTCGCCCAGCTTGAAGTGACTGAGGATTCATCCAGCAAGCCCGAACCGGACACTGAGTTTTCCTTTGTGGAAGCCAGTGGCGCGATGGCCGCGTGAAGATGTTTTTGTTGAGAATCCTTTTACAAAGCGAAGTGCATTGTAATTTGAGGACGCCGATGCCTTGGAAGGCGGCGGCTACACTTTCGCTGCTCTGGAGGCCAAGTTTGCTTCCAGCCATGTGCTGCGTGAGGAGGTATTGACCTCGGGGGGCAAGACTGATCTGCCAGAGTTCCTAGCGGGCATCACTGATGTCCTGACGTGGGGCAAATCGCTCATCCAGTTCGGTCAGTTTGCAAAGAGCAACATGACATACATGGAGCTGGTCTCAAGCCCTGATCCTCAGTGTCAGAGCTATGTGAATTGGTGGCCTTGCGTGGCATGAATCAGGGCCCGGTGATCCCTCGCACTTCCATGACCCGTCAGTTCAAGCAGAGTTGAGGTCGATCGATGACATCGAGCACCGGTTTCCAGCATTTTTCATTTTAGAATAGTACCGGTGTCAAAAGAGCACAGGAGCGCGTACCGCAGGGACCATCGGCTTGGACAAAGATGCGCCCGCGCGTGTCGGGTAGGACCCAGTTTACCTCTGTCAATCGACATATATATATATATATACGTCTATATGTACACTTCCGTTGGCCCTTTGATTTGACAATGATAATGATCCTCCCGTGAGCTGGTGGAACTTGTTTGCTTTAGGCCTGCCTTGGACTTCCTTCCGGTGGAACTTGCCAAGGCCCGGCTATTCAAACATGTTTAGACATAGACAAGTTCATATGATCACATGCGATGTTTACCAAACCAAGTGAGGGTTCACTCACAGGTGAGTGCATTCCTCCCTGGCTTGGGCCTCTGGAGTTTGCATATGCTTGAGCGAGCTCTGGCACACGACATTCATGAGACACGCTAAGACCCAACGCTATATAGGTTCTCCAAAGAGATTGCTTAGGTGCTTGTTGGATTTCAAGGGTGCCAAGCGCGTTTTGATCACGACATTTGATACAGACATCCGCAAAGTTGGTCTCTATTTCTGACACTGCCGCATTTCTGCATGATGATAAGGTACATTCATTGGAAATGGCCCCTGTTTTCCTTGATACAGTTCTTGGATATTTTTGTTTCCCATGAGGCAACCATTGGGACAGTACCGCTGTGAAGCTGAGCGTTGGGTAGAGGCTATGATGAAGCTGGTTGAACAAATTGGTGAAGTCCATATGTGCAAGATTTGCGCATCAAACAGACACACTGCTGATATATGATTTTGACTGGTTGAATCATACTTGTTGCACTTGTGAACAACATGAACAAGATGATTTGATCGCTTGGCAGGTCCCTCTTTGCCTTCCACCAGAGGCCGGGGATTTAGGAATGTGCAATCCTGCCGTCACCCAGATCCAGGATGCTACACAACTGCCCTCAGCCGTTACAAGCCAATGAACAGTGAACCAGGGATGGACCAGTGGTGAATTCGGACAGTCTCGGATCACTCGCGCGTCATTGTCCAGCGTTTATATGGTGCTTGGGTCGGGCTCTTGGCTTAGTCCAGCTGAGTGGTTTTCTTTCGGGTCAGTGACCCAGCGCAGATGTCAGCCAATGCCAGCTTACCAACGGTGCCAGCAGCTGCGGACTCGGAGCACTCATGGCATCCACGCGAGAAGTGCATATAATCTCAGATTGCAGACTGAACCCAAACGCATAATTTAGGTGACATTCAGCGCTTTGCTCGAGCCCTCCAGCGACTTGCAAGACTTCTACAGCCTTGACGTCGGGATCCCGAGAAGTGTGGAGTCGAAAGAAACAAGCTTGGGGGCAGTGAATGGATTTGTGCTGGGGACCAAAGAGCGACCTGCTGCTGCACCTGATCAATTTGCCAAATAGTCTCGTCGTATTTTCGATTCCAAACACCTCAAGCAGGTGGGGGAGGGTTCTAGAGGTTCCACATCAAAGTTCAAATTCTATTTGGGATTAGTAGTTTTTTTGGACAGTAATATTACTGTAAAGGTTTGGATTTGCATTGGACATGCTAGTGGCTAGCACGAGCAAAACCTACCAGATGAGCATTCCGACACGTAGGCTCTGCGTAAGCTCCGCAGAAGGTTGTGCGAACGCGCCGTTTGCGAATCTGAGTGATTGCTCAAACCGCTGCCTACAAAGCCTTTGCTAGACCTGCAAGATCCTGCAAGAAAGACAGGAGCCGTGCCCTATTCCCTATGCCCTATGCCAATGATTTGTGAATTTGTTTGACATCTCCGTGGGTGATTGCAACTCCCTGCCATGCCGCAGCTTTGCTGGAACCACATTCCATCATCAGTCGCTGACACCTTCCGCCGACAATGCAGTAGCATGCTGTAGCTACCCGCGCGCGCGAAAGAAGATGCCAACAGAAAGCTGACCACAAAGACAAGAAGTTAACTTCATCCACCTGACTTTGCAGTAGCGCTTGCAAAAATGAATGTGCGTAAGCTGCTTCTGCACATTGCTGGCATGCAGAAGCCAGTAAGGTTTGTTTAATTGAAACGTCGAATCGGTTCGGTTTGGTTGTAGAAGTATTTTTTCATGGACTTTCGGTTCGGTTCACGGTTCTGTGAGGCATAAGTTACGCAGTGGGGTAAAGAAAAGAAAGGACTATAGACTATAGACAAGACAGGACAGGACAGGAGAAAAAGGGAAAGCAAAAGGAAAGGAAAGGAAAGCAAAGCAATTATTTTAAGGAAAGAAAAGAAAAGGAACGGAAAGCAAAGAAAAGGAATACAAAAGGAACAGCAAGGGGAAGGACTGCTATTGTGAATATGTTTTTTCCATTTTTCCACGCCTTCCAAAAAAGCATATTGGAAAGGAAAACAAAGACATGGAAAAGGAAGGAAGCAAAGGACAGGAAAAAGAAAAGGACATGTAAGGCATGCAATTTGTGAATTTGCTTTTTAGCCAGGCAGTCTAAAAAGCATATGGGAAAGGAAAAGGAAAAGGACAAAGAAAGGAAAGGAAAGGACAAGTGGAAAGCAAAGGCAAGGAAAAGGACATGGAAATGGACAGGTAGGAGTGCAATTTGTAAATATGTTTTTCCATGCCGTCGAAGAAGCATACAGTATTGGAAAGGAAATCAAAGAAAAGGAAAAGGAAAGGACAGCATTTTATGAATGCGCCTAAAGCCGGGCCGTGCCAGTGACATGCTGTATGGGCATTCCAGTGGGGGACTGCTGCTCTGAAGCTCCAGGACCTTGGACTCTTGGACAGTCTGAGAAAAACCTCACACAGCGCTTTGCTATTTGACCTCGGAATAGAGCGGAACGGTTCGTTTTTCGTTTCGGTTGACGGTTGTTTACATTCGGTTCCTGAAAAACTTCGGTTCTTGATATTCGCTGACTTTTGGTTCCGAATGTTCGGTTCCGGATCGACTCTGGACCTTTCCTGAGAATCCAAAGCCATTCAAAGCCCAAGTTTTGTAAGTCCGACGTACTGTCCTGCATGGCATAGACATGTTGATACGACATTTTTTGGATGGAACTCGATTGAAGTCAGCTGTACAAACATGCTTTGGTTGAGGTGGAAGATTGAAACTTACTGATGGCCAGGAATTGTTTAAACTTATGATTGTTTGATTCGAACACACAGTAATACACAACTGGCCTTTTCGACATGATTGGATATTGAAACATCGTTTAGAATGCACAATTCATCAACATGTTTTTTTCATTTGCTTGACCGAGGAGTGGGCCCTGCTTTCTGAAGGGCCCATGGAACAATCGGTGAGAAGACTGGTGACCGAAACTGCTCCGGCAGTGCTGGCATGTGAAATCAAATCATTTGGGTTGGTTGTTGAATGTTGTTGATAGAGGACTCCGTAGCTCACTGCAATGATGGGCGATGACACGGGCGCGTTTCAGAAATCATTGGGTGTGCTAGCCAAGTGATTCAAAACAACTTGGTTCTTCTGGAACGGAACTTGTTCGGGTTTGTGACCCTGCATCGTGGCCACACAATGTGTGGCGGCCCAACTGTTCAGGCCACCTCTCCAGCGTTCAGCCCTCAGATTTGGAGGGCGAGAGGGTCGCTTCCAAACGTGGTTTTAGTGGTCGATTCGACGTCCGTTGGCATGTTTCATTGCATGGTCTTCTATTCTCCACCCTCTTCCCCACCCCCTATTGTGTGTACCTCCTTCTTGTTTGAGATGTGATAGCACACTTTATACATCACGGTCTGACCGTCGTCTATCGTATTCCTCAAGGTTCAAGGGAATCACAGTTTACTCACCGACCCATTAGATTGTCCGAAGGTTGCATCCCCGTTCATCTTCCTCACAGCCTGTTGCCACCCTCGCCCCCAGCCCTCCCACAAGTTTGGCTGGTGGTTGAAGGCAATTTGTGCATTTGTTCTACTGTGGCACTTGAAAGTGTTCCAAAGTGATCTTAGAAATGTGGTCTAAAGTCACCCTTTAATTTGTGTTCTCAAGTCACCCTGTTGCCGGCTTCAAGGGATTCAAACACATGTCAACATTAGGGTCAACAAGGATTTGGACTCTTTCATCGCCAAGTTGCGCATCCCCTGTGTTCCAGCTACGTAGAACAGGTCCCACTCAGATTTCAGGCAACAAGAAAGGTGGCTGTCCAATTCAGTGCAATTTGAGATGAATTGAGCCCCTGTCACGACATCAGATCGTTCAGGACGGTTCGAGTCATTGGCAAACGAGCGGAAGAGGCGTCCTCTGGACAGGCTCGTAGAGCCTGGGCCTCAGTGAAATCGTTCCAGAGCTCCACAGACGGCGGGTTGGTTGTTCATTCTGCAGATGTTTAGTTTGGATGGCTTTTGAGCATTTTCGAGTCACTGTCATTTGGTCTTTATGGGTCTCGAACGCTTTATTCTTTGAAGGAAGCTGCTTTCATGCTCCTGTCCTTATAGATTGCCTCCAGTCTCCCGAATTCGGATCTTAGTGCGCACTTGCATGTTAGGTTCAGAGCGTGGCAGAGTTGAAACCTCCAGCCTGGCTCGTGCCTTGCCTGTAGACAATGAATCAGGGGCTCGCGGTGGAAGACTGCTCCAGAAGAAAATATGGTCATATTTCTTCAACACCGAAAGGGAATTAAGAAGAACCGGTTGGCTCTGAGATTTGGAATTTGCATGATCAGTCCAGGTGGAGTTTCATCTCCTCATTGCTCCGAATCCTGTTGCAGCGGCTGGCCAGCAGGCGCAGCCGGGCAACGCTGCACGCTGTAGCCGGCTGTCGGATTGTTCCCCACTGCGGGATGTCAAGTTCTTTCACCCTTAAATCGTTCGGAGGCGTTGGAGCCAGAGCGTGTAAATTAGGGGGTACTTCTTCTCATTAATTTTTGGCGCAATGGTGCAAGGGTCCCATTGTCTGCCGGTTTTGATTGAGATTGAGAAAGCAAGTGACAAGCTGGGCATGGTAGGGAATCATCAAGTATAGAGTATACAGTATATACAGTATACATATAGTATACATCAGTACAGTATGAGAAGTCATGAGACGATGATGCTCATCGTCATGTCAGAGATGGCCACTGGTGGTGCCAGGTCTCATACGCACTCACCCCCGACAAATCGCAGGTGATGGCAGCACTGAGGCAACTGCAGCCAGGCGCAAGCACTTTCCTACAAGCTACTAGTAGCTCCTGACATTACTACTAGGAACCAGAAGCTACTAGTAGCAAGGGCATCGCTACTAGTAACAAAGCATCGCTACTAGGAGCAAGGACGCTTCTAGTAGCTCCAAGAGACTGCACCATGTCCAAGTCATGATCCTTGGGAGCTCCGTTTTGTTCAAACAAATCACCATTCTCCCAAAATCAGGGTCTCCAGCGCCAGGGCAGATGGCGGAGGGTTTCGTCCAGGCGCTCCCAGCCGTGGCGCGGCCGGAGGTCTTGCGCCTCACAGCTGCAGCGCCTCAGCAGGTCGGACAGCGGGTAATAGGAGCTTCTTGTTACTGGTAGTAAGAAT